AACGGGAGAAACACACGGTCTGCCTCTGACCTTCCTCTTGTTTGCAGTGCTGCTGACTGATGGTTTAAGTCTGAATTAGAATCTGAACAAAAGTCAAGCTCCACTTCCTGGCTTGTTCCAGAGCTTCCACCTGCTCGACCTCAGGTGGAGTTTGCTCAGTTTGTCATGTTGGGTTCTGATTTTTGAATTCTGAAGTTTGAGTCTGATGAAGCGGCCATGTTGTCTTCTGTGTTTTTTTTTTTTTTCAACTTCTCAATAATTTCCAGTTTATTTAGTTATAACTTTACACTGGTTTGAGAGTCTAGTGGATTGTTGACTTACAGTATTTAATAAGCCGTCATTAATTACATTGCACATCACATGGTTTGCTCTGTAAAGGAAAGACAGGTCACAGTTACAGAATTCCTTATAGCTCTGCAGTTTTATTAGACACCTGGATTGAACGCAGCAGGTGATACAGCATTCGTAATAACCACGAGAGACTTGACTTGGACTCTAGCTCAAGGACTTGTGAGCATCTCTGTCTTCTTCTTCTTGATTCACTTCAGGCAGAATCAGTCAGACACGAAGCGGCTCCGGATCCAACAATCTGTTATTAATCTGCAGCCTCAGAGGAAGCCGGCAGCGTCTGCAGACGGCTTCAAACCCACAAAGCGTCCGAAGATCAGCTGCTGTTCTGTTGGTTTAATATCACAGCGATCCTCCTCAGGACCAGGTCCTTGTTAGAGTTCAGTTAGAGTGTAGCTCCTGTTTCTGGAGATGAAGGTGACTCATTTTGACGGTTGTTGTCACGTTTATTGAAGAATATGTCGAGTGTTGTTCTGTATTTTTCTTCGTGTCAACAAATCAAACCAGGTTTCCTTTAGTCCTGAACCAGCAGAGTCCTGCCTGAGGATCTGAGGCTCTGGTTCATATACATAAATATCAACATATTTCCATCCTTTCAAAATAAAACTAATGGTTAATGTTGTGAAATTTCACAGTTTGGGTAGGTTTAGGAAAAGATCATGGTTTGGGTTATACTGAGCTCTAGTGTGTGTAATATCTATTGACGGAAATGCAATATAAAATCCAAAACTTTTTCAGTGGTGTATAAAGACCTTCCATAATGAATCGTTATGTTTTTATTACCTTAGAATGAGACATTTATATCTCTTACATGGAAGGACCCAGCTTGCGCTGCCGTGTTTCTACAGTAGCCCAAACGGACAAATAGCTCTACATAGCAGTCGGTTTCTATGTTATGTTGTTTGTTTCTTATACTTTATGTGTGTTTTATACTTGCTGCAGCACAGATTACCCATGAAACAAACAATATGTTGAATTGAATTGAACTGGTGACCATTGAAGAGGCAGAAACGGGCTAAAAACGGGCTGAAACAGGTCGATGTAATAATTGTTTGTAGAAGCCGAGAGGCTGCGTTCGCACCAGCTGACGGCCTGAGGTCGCTTTGTGTATTTAAAGCCTGAATATAATACAACAATAATCTGGCCAACATGAAGTTAAAAGCGTGACTGAGCTTCAGGTCGAGAGAGAAACGAGAGTTTAAAGATGCTCGTCGTGTGTGGATGAGACACACTAAAGTAACTTTCAGCAGCTTTTGTTAGCTTAGCATTTAGCATCCGGAGGGCACCCTGCTCCTCCTCATCTCAGGGAGGTTCTCCTCTCTGTCTGACGCTCCAGATTAAGTTCTGCTCTCGGTTTACAGATTACAGTAAAAACGTCCCGACCGAGTTGCAGCTCCAGGCTGAAGCTGTTTTTAAAGCAGAAACCTCCAGAGACGTGCAGATATCTGGACGTTTGACTGACTCTGCTCTTTACATGCAGACGCCATTTTCTCCTCCTCCTCCTCCTCTTTGCCTGGAGGATGCGGTTGCCACGGTAACCAGACAGTCCCAGGGGGGAGGGAGAGATGCAGGCTGGGAGGAGGATGTGGGGGTGGAGCAGGTGACGGTGAACATGTTTTATTAAGAAGGTTACAGATCTGAGAGCAGCAGCTGAAATACTGAAATGCATCATTTAATCATGGCGTCTGTCGGCAGCTGCAGGACGCGGACGGCCGCACTTTCTTCTTCCTCTTTGTTCTTTCCTTCCTCCTCTCCCTGGTCTCTTCCTGTTCTTACGAAGTTCTTACGAAGTTCTTCGCCTCATATTGGGGTCACACGTCAGATGATCGGCCGTTGCCATAGCAACTGCACCGTTAGCTGGCTCCGTTAGCGCTCGTTTAGTCTCAGTCTGAATCGTTATCCTCTCAGGAGCATTTCTTTACCCATCATGCCTTGCAGCGACTGCAGCAGCAGCGAGCGGTGTGCGTGTGTGTGTGTGCGCGTGTGTGTGTGCATGTGCGTGTGTGTGCGCGTGTGCGTGTGCGTGTGCGTGCGTGTGTGTGTGTGTGTGTGATGATAGCGAGGCAGAAAGAGCCGTCGCTTGATGTAAATGAGCATCAATAGATCGCACACACACCAGCTGAGCTCTGCAGCATCACAGGGACCCCTAATCTGAACCTGAGTCTAGACCTGAACACTGAACCAGGTCTGACTGTGCATTCATGTGTCGGAATAATCTGAAAAAAAAATTCATGTGAACGATCCCTGAAGTTGGAACAACAACATCTGAGGAAATTTGGGTGTACGAGTTGCCGAGGTTAGAAACGTTTGGTTAATGGTGAAAAATCACTTATTGCATACATTTTTTTTCTAAGTTGTCATACGGACGCTGCTGTCGTTCCCAAATTGATTGACAGGTTGGTTTTTTTTAACACTAAAAGCAAAAAGAGCTCATTTAGAAATTATGATCAGCTGTTGAACACAAAATGTTTATCATCTATAACTCATTGAAGATGGCGTCATCATGGCCAATAATCAGAGTGCATTATGGTAAAAAAATATAAAATCAGACGTGTTCTGAGTCCTGTGAGCCGGCCCTCTGCCGTCTGTCCTGTAACCTGAGGACACGTCTACACTGAACAACGGTCTGGATCCTGTTTCTCAGACCTCCTCCTCCCCCTACCCACAATCCCCTGGGGCTCAGCGCCTCATAATGAATGCAGCAGTGACATTTGCTGCACCGACCTCCTGCTGACTTCAGATCTGCTGCACCGAGCTGAAAAAAACCTGACAGCAGAGACACAGAGTCACCTGAATAACAAACAGCCTGTGTTTTATTTACTGTCTGAAACAAACAGCAGCGCCTCGTGTCGGCTTCTCTCTCGGACCCGTCGTTTCTGCAGTGAAGGTCGCGCTCAGTGTCAGTCACATGAGCAGCTCTGAAGAGCTCACTGAGCATGTGCAGCCCTGACCCCAAGCTAACGACCTCACTGTGTCACACCTATCGATCGGTTTATTGACTTATTGTACATATTTCTACAAACTGTGCAGTCAGATGTTACACAGCCGCCCTAGAAAAGAATATAACAGTTATTAAAATAGTTATTTTAGTAAAGACAATATAAAAACTAAAATATTTCTCTGTTTACACACAAACCCTCGTTGTTCTGTGCAGAAAAACATCTTGAACTTTATCTGAAGATAATGTGAGATTGTTTTACTACAGAAGTCCCCCCATGCTGAAACTTAACCAGGAGCTTTGAGTTGCCCAAACACAACCATGAAAACATTCACTCTACTTTTTATTTAACAAGCGTAATATGTCAGTTTATGTTCAATATCTACACAATATACCAAATACCAAAGCAGTACAGGTGGTACATTATAATTACTAGTATTGATAGCGATATTAGTTTATTGTTAAATGTGCAGTGGATACACAAAGAAATTCTTATCTTGTTTCACCTCCCAGATGCTGCAAACACACTTAAAAGAGATAACAACTAATATAAATATATAAAGTACAGATCATGATGAAAGTAATGGGACTAATAATAACATGGGAGCAGCAGGAAGCCCGCAACCACAGATCCAGAGCCCACAGATCCAGAGCCATCCTGCAGAAAGCAACAGAAGAAGAGAGGGACGAGAAAGCACAAGACTATGGTAAAGGGAAGAAGTCGAATTAGTAACATGCTGTAATGGGATGAGGTTGGTAGAGATGAGGAGGAAGAGGAGCTCAGTGCATCATGGGAAGAACCCCGGCAGTATAGGGCTATAGCAGCATAACTAAGGTTCAGGACTCACCAGAGCCAGCCCTAACTATAACAATAAAAACATACAGTGTACTTTGTTTCCTTCAACAGCCAGTACTGTCATTATGTACTGATACTGGGTTCAAATTAAAACACACAGAACAGACTAACGTGTAGCTCTAAAACATCAAAGAGGTTAAACACACGTTTAGTTTAAAGTCTCTCGCTGTTTGTGTTCGGACGAGTGGAAAGTGTGACGAGTTGTCAGACTGATTCAGGATCAGATGAGTGGAGGCTGGAAACAGCCGCAGGAGAAACTTAGATAACATGTTATCTAACAGCTGGACTGAGCTTCCTGTCGGGCCGCTCTTAACAGAACTCATCAGGAGGAGGAGGAGGAGGAGGAGGAGCTCTGGTTCAAGTCTGGTTTCAAACCTTCAGTTTCTCCCCTCGTTTCCCAAAAGTATAAGTAAGAGAAACGACCTGGAAGCTGTTTAGTGATGAACCTTCAGAAGTGCTGCATTTGAGTTCAGCAGAGGTTTTGTGCCCTTCAGCGAGGATCTATAGGTGGGATCGATTTGTTCGTCGCGGTGCATTCATGCTGTGTCTGCAGAATGGGAAGAACTTATTCTGATGTCTTCACAGATTAATACAAGGAGTTAGCCCTGCTGCTAACCGTGTAGCTTCTTTTGTTGTTTGTAAATGTGTTACTGAGTGAAACCAGATACAAACAAAGAAACAAACAAACAAAAGGTTGTTTCTGTGATTGTCTCCGTGTTCATGCTGGTTTTGGTTTTGGTGCAGCTGCCGGCGGTTTGCAGCCGTTCTGCAGCTCCTTCGGTTAAAACAATGTTTGGTGAACGCAGCTTCTGACTGTGTGAAGGCAGGTGAGGGTAATAACACCTCCTCCACCTCTGTGCTCCTCCTGCAGGAGGCGCTGCAGAGTGTGAAGATGGCCAAAGCCGTGGCTTCCTATGACCAGCTGGCCCACCAGGTGGAGGCGCTCCGGAAGGAGAACTCCCACCTGAGGAGGGAGCTGGAGGACAACTCCAACCACCTGTCCAAACTGGAGACCGAGACCACCGGCATGAAGGTCAGTCTGGATACACCAACCCCCAAGACCACCACACTCAATACTGCCAACACCACCGACACACAGTTAAAGGACCAAACCGCTGCTTATTTTTCAACATATAAATATATATAATTTGTCTGTGAATGAAAATACAGGCAAAGCTGAGCAAAAACACTCATTTGTAATCAGGCATTTTGTCTCCTTTAACATTTTAACTCTTTAATGGGGTGGTGATGGAGCAGTGGATAAGACATGCCTTTGGTGGAAGAGACCCGGGTTCGAATCCACTGTGAATCCCTGAGCAAGACACTTTTACCCCTGTTGCTCCAGAGGCGTGCGACCTCTTACATATATAGCAACTGTAAGTCGCTTTGAATAAAAGCGTCAGCTAAATGAATAAATATAAAAAACAGGTCGTAATTTAAAACCTCAAATGTCCAAAATCAACTATATTTAGAAAATAATCAATAAACAAACCGAGAGACAGAAACCTGTCAGATCAGGCTAAGACCCAAATCCTGCTGGAGATAAATCCCATCAGCTGCACACACACAAACACACATGTACGTGTACACATGCATGTGACTACACACACACACACACACACTCACGTGTCCAGATGCTCAGTGCAGCTGGATTATCAGACTGAGCTCAGCCGGTCTGATTAGAATCAGGATCTCTGACACACAAACAGAAGAGAGAGGAGAGCTAATGCTGGTTCACCTGCAGCAGGTGAGTCTGCAGGGGTTAAATCAGGAGGAGGAAGCTCGAACACGAAGGAGAATCTTCTGATCACGTTTGTTTGGGATGTGGTGATTTTTTATCTGCTGCTTGTGGGTTTGACCTGTTTCATGGGATTATTATCTTCTGTGTTTGCTGAAACACTAGCAAAAGCGGAACATCAGAGCGAAGACAGCAGGACTGAGGAGGTTAAGATCTGGTGCAGCTAAATATTTATCTGTGTCTGAGTTCATGTGCTCATAGCAGCGGGGACGGAGACAGACATGCAGCTACTGCTGACAACAAGACATGTTGTCCTGAGGTGGAGTTTTCATTCTGCAAATACACAGAGGTGGATGAAGTATTCACATCCTTTACTTAAGTTAAAGTACTAATACTTCACTGTAAAAATACTGTTACAAGCTCATAATCAGTACAAGTACTCAAAGCAGAAAGAAAAACTCCCCTGTGACTGTTGTACTCATTATAAATGATTTTATTGTTATTACTCAGGCGTTCACGTAAAAGCAGGATTTACTGCTGTAGTTTTTGAGGTGGAACTGTTTTATATCAGACTGCAATTATAGTATTTATTTATTTTTTTCATTCTGGATCAATTTGCTGATTATTTTCTCCAGTAATCAACTGTAGAAATTCTGAAAAGTGTGAGAAATGTTGTCCCAGTTACTCAGAGCCCAAAGTGACTCCTTCATGACGCTTGTTCTGTCAGTCCAAACCTTAAAATTATTAAAAATACATTTTAATGGGGTGGTGATGGCGCAATGGATAAGACACATGCCTTTGGTGCGGGAGACCCGGGTTCAATTCCCACTGTGACACATCCACCCTCGTTGCTCCAGAGGCGTGCGACCTCTGACAGTTGTGAACCATGAAATGTTTGTAATGTTCAAATGTTTTCATGAGTATAAGTGATTTATTGTTTTAGTTTTTTTGTTATCGCAGTATTTGTATGAGAAGTATGAGAAGAATTTTGTAGAATTTCACTCTTCTTGGTATCGACTACTACATTTCTGGAATTGTGACATCCCTAGTCTGTACACACCTTCAGTCTGGCCGGTCTCCTGGGACCAGTTCACCTTGGAAGACCTCCTCCTCCCCCAGCTACACCTGGGTGGTGCTTCTCTTCTGTGATACCTGTTTTCACACTGCAAAAATGTTTCTGTCTCTGAATCTCCGGTTGTTCCTCCTCTTCTGACGCAGGAGGTGTTGAAGCAGCTGCAGAGTAAACTGGAGCAGGAGGCGGGAACGCTGGCCTCGTCCGGGAGGAGCGACGTGCTGCACCAACTCAAAGGTCTGGATCCTTTTTCTCCAGAGTCACACGAGTTTAATGTTTACAGTCTGATTCTGCTCGACTCTGCTGGTCTGAGCCTCCGCTGGGACCGATCATCATTCACAGAGAAATTAATCGACTCAATCAGTTAACCTGATTGGCTGCAGCTGGCTCTGCCTCGTTATGACTCCGTCCAATTAAAAAAGCTAATTCATGCCAATTAGTTTGTCTGGATGGGAATTAAATTGACTCCAATTAAGTTTAACAGCAGACATGTTTGTAGAAAACAGTTCAGTTCTGTCTGTCAGAAGAAATTATGGATAACAGATAGATGGTAGGAGGGAAGGAAGAAAGGAAAGACGGAAAGGAAAGGATGGAAGGGAAGATGCAAAGAAAGGAGGAGAGAGAGGAAGGAAGAGAATCAAAGGAAGGAAGGATAGAAGAAAAGGATGGGAGGGAAGGAAGGAAGCTAGATAAAGAGGATGGGATGGAGAAAAGAAGGAAAGGAAGAGCGAGAGTGAGTGAAAGGAAAGAAACAAACAAATAAACAGAAGAAAGAATGAAATAAAAGAAGAAAGGATGGAAGGAGAAGGGAAGATGGAAAGAAAGGAAGGTAAAACAAAAGGAAGGTAAAAGAAAAGGGGAAGGAAGGAAGAGAGGGAGGTGAGAAGAGAAGGTAGTAAGGAAGAAAGAAAAAAGGAGGGAAAGAAGGAAGAAGTTAAGGAAGAGAGAAAGAGTTGGTGGGTGGAAGGACAGGAAGGAAGAAGGAAGGAAGACATACAATAAACAAACATACATAAAAAGAGCGATGGGTGGATGATGGATGGGTTTGATTAATCATATTTATTGGTCCTCCTCCTCCCTCAGAGCTCCACATGGACCTCACCAACTACTACGAACTCAAACACCAACCTCACAACCTGAGGCTGCTTACAGACAGCATGGGAGGGGCGAGGCTAACAGGTGTTGGTGGAGGGGTGGAGCTAGATGCTTGTCTGGCTTTGCCTCCTTCCTCCTGCTCCTCCTCCTCGGCGGCAGGCAGAGCAAGAAGTCCGCTGAGAGCGTCATCACGTATGAGCGCAGCATCTGGTGGCGAGGCCGCCGCCGTAATGATACCCCATCACTTCCTGGACGGAGCCCCACCCAAAACAGCTGTGATTAGCGGTGCGGATGGTCGACAGAGCGATCATCACCTGGAGGAGCTGTACAAGGAGAGGTCAGCTGATTGTTTTAGTTCTCCTGGAGATGGTGTGAGGGTTGGGTGGTGTGAGGGTTGCTGTGGGTGTCGTGAGGATAAGTTTGGTTGGGTGGCGTGAGGATTGGGTGGTTGGGTGGCGTGAGGATTGGGTGGTTGGTTGGGTGGCGTGAGAATTGGGTGGCGTGAGGATTGGGTGGTTGGGTGGCGTGAGGATTGGGTGGCGTGAGGGTTGCTGTGGGTGTCGTGAGGATAAGTTTGGTTGGGTGGCGTGAGGATTGGGTGGGTGGTTGGGTGGCGTGAGGATTGGGTGGGTGGTTGGGTGGCGTGAGGATTGGGTGGGTGGTTGGTTGGGTGGCGTGAGAATTGCTTTGGGTGGCGTGAGGATTGCTTGGTTGGGTGGCGTGATGATTGGGTGGTTGGTTGGGTGGCGTGAGAATTTCTTTGGGTGACGTGAGGATAAGTTTGGTTGGGTGGCGTGAGGATTGGGTGGCGTGAGGATTGGGTGGTTGGGTGGCGTGAGGATTGGGTGGGTGGTTGATTGGGTGGGGTGAGAATTGCTTTGGGTGGCGTGAGGATAAGTTTGGTTAGGTGATGTGAGGATTGGGTGGTTGGTTGGGTGGCGTGACGTGAGAATTGCTTTGGGTGGCATGAGGATAAGTTTGGTTGGGTAGCGTGAGGATTGGGTGGTTGGGTGGCGTGAGGATTGGGTGGCGTGAGGATTGGGTGGCTGGGTGGCGTGAGGATTGGGTGGCTGGGTGGCGTGAGGATTGGGTGGCTGGGTGGCGTGAGGATTGGGTGGCTGGGTGGCGTGAGGATTGGGTGGTTGGGTGGCGTGAGGATTGGGTGGTTGGGTGGCGTGAGGATTGGGTGGTTGGTTGGTTGGGTGGCGTGAGGATTGCTTTGGGTGGCGTGAGGATAAGTTTGGTTAGGTGATGTGAGGATTGGGTGGTTGGTTGGGAGACGTGAGAATTGCTTTGGGTGGTATGAGGATAAGTTTGGTTGGGTGGCGTGAGGATTGGGTGGTTGGTTGGGTGGCGTGAGGATAAGTTTGGTTAGGTGATGTGAGGATTGGGTGGTTGGTTGGGAGACGTGAGAATTGCTTTGGGTGGCATGAGGATAAGTTTGGTTGGGTGGCGTGAGGATTGGGTGGTTGGGTGGCGTGAGGATAAGTTTGGTTGGGTGGCGTGAGGATAAGTTTGGTTGGGTGGCGTGAGGATTGGGTGGCGTGAGGATTGGGTGGTTGGGTGGCGTGAGGATTGGGTGGCGTGAGGATTGGGTGGCGTGAGGATTGGGTGGCTGGGTGGCGTGAGGATTGGGTGGTTGGGTGGCGTGAGGATTGGGTGGTTGGGTGGCGTGAGGATTGGGTGGTTGGTTGGTTGGGTGGCGTGAGGATTGCTTTGGGTGGCGTGAGGATAAGTTTGGTTAGGTGATGTGAGGATTGGGTGGTTGGTTGGGAGACGTGAGAATTGCTTTGGGTGGTATGAGGATAAGTTTGGTTGGGTGGCGTGAGGATTGGGTGGTTGGTTGGGTGGCGTGAGGATTGGGTGGTTGGTTGGGTGGCGTGAGGATTGGGTGGTTGGTTGGGTGGCGTGAGGATAAGTTTGGTTAGGTGATGTGAGGATTGGGTGGTCTGTTGGGAGACGTGAGAATTGCTTTGGGTGGCATGAGGATAAGTTTGGTTGGGTGGCGTGAGGATTGGGTGGTTGGGTGGCGTGAGGATAAGTTTGGTTAGGTGATGTGAGGATTGCTTTGGGTGGCATGAGGATAAGTTTGGTTGGGTGGCGTGAGGATTGGGTGGTTGGTTGGGTGGTGTGAGGATTGGGTGGTTGGTTGGGTGGCGTGAGGATTGGGTGGTTGGTTGGGTGGCGTGAGGATAAGTTTGGTTGGGTGGCGTGAGGATTGGGTGGTTGGTTGGGTGGCGTGAGGATTGGGTGGTTGGTTGGGTGGCGTGAGGATTGGGTGGTTGGTTGGGTGGCGTGAGGATAAGTTTGGTTGGGTGGCGTGAGGATAAGTTTGGTTGGGTGGCGTGAGGATTGGGTGGTTGGTTGGGTGGCGTGAGGATTGGGTGGTTGGGTGGCGTGAGGATAAGTTTGGTTGGGTGGCGTGAGGATAAGTTTGGTTGGGTGGCGTGAGGATTGGGTGGCGTGAGGATTGGTTGAACAGTGATATCTAACAGACTGTGTGTGACCGACTGTAGGAACCTCCTGCTGGGGGAGATCGACCGCGAGGAGAGGGAGCGCTGCTGGTACTTCAGCCAGCTGGAGGCGCTGTCACAGAGACTGAACCAGCTGCCTCGCATTGACACGGTGACTATACACACACACACACACACACACACACACACACACACACTGCCTGTGTGTTGATCAAAGATGGGAACTCGAGTCCGACTTAAGTCGCACAGGCAGTGACTTCAGACTCGACTCAGAATCGAGGTGCGGGATTCGTGAACAATGTCTACTTTAGGAAATTTCTGATGAGCGTGCCGTTATTCCCTCCCTGCGTTACCTATAACCTGCCTACGTAACACGTAGTATCAGCTGTGCGCGGCCGCTTGTGAGAGAGGACAACAAACAGCGGCAGCTGCTGAGCCGAACATCATAAATTTTGGCTTTAAAACTTCATACAACAAGACCCAAACAAAGAAACGCTGAACGCAACATTTAGGTTAGTAACCTGAGGTTAGTGAACATGTTTAGCTCAGCATTGACCATCTGACGTTAGCTTGCTTCTTGCTTCAGCTACGACCTACGGGAGGTTTAAGATGAATGAGCGTTTGTTTACCTGCCAAACTTCATTTACGTCCCGCTGGCTGCCATCACGTTAATTATTACAGTCGGCTGCAAACAGTTTACAGGTTTATTGTTGATCATGTAACGTCACAGTTTTATTTAGTTATAACGTTACACTGGGTTTGACAGTCTGCAGGGTGTGTTGACTTACAGTAGTTAATAAGCCATTAATAATAAGTCATTAATTGCATTGCACATCACATGGTTGTGCTCTGTAAGTTAAAAACAGGTTACAGTTACAGAATCCCTTTATAGCTCTGCAGTTTTATAAGCAGCCTGGATTGAACGCAGCAGCTGACACAACATTCATTATAACCACCAGAGACTTGAGACTTGAACTCAGTGACCTGTGAGCATCTCTGGTGTTGGTAATTCAATTTACTATAGATGAAGTACAATTTTAGATAACTTTACTTGAGTATTTTAATTTAATGCCACTTTCTACTTCCACCACATCTCAAAATTGTACTTTTTACTAACTTTGCAGATTAAAATGAATAATATATAATCAGTAAATCTATAATGATTTATTATTACAGGTTGACTATAATCCAATAATATAATAACCATCATTAAACCAATCATTCTGAAATGGGCCATTCTGCATAATGAGTGCTTGAATTAATATTATTATGACCTATATTATGCCCTGACCTTTGTGTGTTTGTGTTGTAGTTTTCTCTGCAGATGGATCTGATTCGGCAGCAGCTGGAGTTTGAAGCCCAGCAAGTTCAGTCTGTGATGGAGGAACGCTTCGGCACCAGCGATGAGGTGGTTCAGAGGACACAGGTGAGACTGACGGCTGCTGCTGCTCCAAATAATATCGATTCATCTTATTAAATTATTACACAGTTGAGTTGTTGTTGATGGTTTACAGTACACACATCTGGTTGGTAACACAGCACATCTGGATGAGTCTGAACTGTGTGTGTGTTTCAGATCCGTGTTGCTCGTCTGGAGCAGCTGGAGAAGGAGCTGCAGGAGGCCCGAGGGAGTCAGGAGAGCCAGCTACAGGTCAGACATATGCATTAACACACAGCACAGATCACTGAGTCACTCTGATTTTATTAAAGCAGGTTCATCTGTGTTTCCTGCATCAGAACATTTTCCAAAGTGAATTCAGTCTTTTAGTGTCAGAGGTATCTTGGACTCGTTTAGATCTGAAGGTGGACTTACAGACGGTGCGTTACATCAGGTCCTCGTGGCAGCTTTCAGTATGTGCACATAACTGCTATGTTAAGTTCATACTCAACAATCCTCGTGATTCAACCAATGCAAACCATTTCAAGATACCACAGCGGGTCCAATCAGCGCCTCTGTCAGACCAACCAGTACAAACAAAACTGATGCGACTCACTTATGAATCCTCACAGTAACTTAATCCACCGATCGATTATATTCCAACAAAAATGGTCTTGTTACGCTGTCAAAGGTCCAGATGATCAAATCCAGTAAAAATATTTAGTCCAAAACACATTATTCCATCAGTAAATCCCCAGGGACGGCTGCCGCATCGCTTCAGATCTGCAGACGTGGCTCGTTTGTCATTATAACCGTAATAACTCCAATTTGAATGTAAACAACTACGATGGCTTGTATTCAATTTAGCCGCTGAACTCTGACCTTTCGAGTGACACCAAATCCGACCCAATAGGAGCTCACATGTCCCTTTCACAGCCTACAACAGCCAACGAGAACCCGCGCTGTGAGGAAGCGCCATTCTGAAAATGACGATATCCAGCCTTAAGTAGGAAGTTCATAATCTACCAGCAAAAAACACGTCTGCGTCGAGCTGCCGGCTGATAGGAGCGATGCCAAGGGGCGGGGCTGTTTTAGAAAAAAAAAGGGAAGAGATACACTCAAAACCTGTGGAAAACTGTCATTTTCATGGTATTGGTATGAAATTTAAACTTGTTCTAGGTAAGGCTTTATGCTGCGGCCCTACAGTGTTTCCCAGCTATAGTTGTCTGCATTCATTTGTTAGTACAACCCATAACCCACAACATTTTCAAGTGGAAACAAAAAATATAATAGTTTTAGTGTGTTTAAACTTATATTAATCAATTCCAGTAACTCTTACAGTGATTCTGACGTTTGGGTTAGACACTGCAGACTGTTATCGTTCAGAGAAGCCCGACCAGGCAGATACTCCAGATGGTTCAAGAACTACATTCAATTTACTTTGGATCTGCCTTGAAGAGGCATTTTGCATGAATTGTACAGGAATGGTAAGAGGTTAAGAGCAGGGACACACGATTTGAGCGTGACGACTGAAGGGGCCAAGTTGGACCGGGTCTGTTCCAGTCTGGCTCAGTTAGTGTTGACTGTCAGCAGATATTGACGTCACTTGTAACACACAAGTGGGCGAGACGTACTTGTAAACAAACTGCTTTACCTGAAGGTAGCCATCCAGGGTCTCGCCAGACTCTCAGCCGTTTACTTCCTTTTTTTCGGTCTTTTCAGCTCAGATGTGGCTGCGGATAAACAAGCTGCTGGTTGGGCGTCCATGTTTGTTTTGGTACAAGAACACGTGTCAGTTGCCGTTCTTGTGGGATTTGCGGCGGCGTCTACCTGCAGTGGATTTACTCAGTCGTCAGGTTTCCTGCCTGACTGTCAAACACTAAAACATCTTTATGTTACCTTATGTTTGTCTTTGTAGCTTTCAGTTGTTCGTCTTCCACTTTGTCCAAAGCTTAAGGCATAAACTCCAGCAGTGAATCTTTTGAAGTCCCATCATGTCCAAAAATAAATCAACATATCTATATATTAATACATATAAATCAGTGTCCACAGTTAACTTTTAAAAATGTAAAAATAATCATTATAGCAGCAGACAGCGCATATCACTCACTGACTCTGTTAAAGCAGGTTCATCAGTGTTTTGTTCTCGGCATCAGAACACTTTCCAAAGAGACAGAACTGATCCACTACAGAATTCAGTCTTTAAGTTTCAGAGGTATCTTGGACTTTTTTAGATCTGAAAGTGGACTTACAGATTACATCAGTTTAGGGCAGGACAGCAAGCCGTCCAGACAGCTGAGCTCTGAGTGGACCGAGAGCCAAAATGGAGGACGCTATCGTAGATGTGTGTCACCGCTGAGTTGTATTAAAGCTCCTCGGTCCACAACAGAGACCCCCCCACCCCGACCGCTGGGTTCCACTGGTTCACTCCAGCAGTCGTTCCCAGTCTAACTCTACCTGACACAGTGACACCGAGCCGTCGTAGGCCCAGACCCAGAAACCCGGGTACAGAGGCTCAGTGAAGGTGGAGGTGAAGGTGTGAAGGTGGACCATGGTGTCCCGAGAGACGCAGTAGAAGGACAGAGAGCCTGCATACCAGTCCAGGTAAACCCCGACTCTGTGGGTGAAGGGTCGGGGTGAGGAGGACCTGAACCTTTTCTTATCGTGGCACGGTGTGTAGCTTCCTTCTGAACACTCCAGACTCCAAGACCGCTTGTTGTGTCCTAGCAGACAGCTCGCCGTGTCTCCGTCTCTGGAGATGCTGTTGTAGGTGATGCCTACGTCGGCGCCGCCACTCCACACCACCTCCCAGTACACCGAGTCCAGCAGCGCTTCCCTGCACAGGACCTGAGGACAACGCTCAAACCGCTCCGAGTGGCCCGCGGGTCGACGTTCTGACCACACTCGAGTCGCCCTCCTGTTACAGTCAGTCAGATGGAGCTCTGAGTTGGCGGTGTTAGGGTCAAAGGTCAAATAGCAGGCAACTGAGGGACGAAACAAGGTACACGATTAATCAGTTGATCAATTAATTTTGCTATTTGAAGGTAGCTGAAGTTTTTATTTAAACATTTGCTTTTTGCCCTGGTGGCCCTGATCTCGTCCTTTTTGCGTGTTAGCTTTGCAGCAGCAACTGTAGCAACAGTTTGCTAACATACAACAGTGGCGTGGAGTGGGGGAGGTTTTGGGAGAAGCCAAGTGAGAGGGGATGTCCTTTTTGGAGGGCAATTATCTAATGCGTTGTGCTATTACAGTGCAGGGTAGAATTTTACACAAAATTGAATCAAACTTTAAAGACGCGCACTGTCTGTTATCAATACACACGCTGAAAAACTCATTTACCGGGACGTTCTCTCTCTCTCACTCACTCACTCACTCAGTCTCTCTCTCTCTCTCTCTCTCTCTCTCTCTCTCTCTCTCTCTCTCTCTCTCTCTCTCTCTCTCTCTCTCCCCTTCACCCCCAACCGGTCGAGGCAGATGGCCGCCCACCCTGAGCCATGGTTCTGCTCGAGGTTTCTGCCTCTTAAAGGAAGTTTTTCCTTGCCTCTGTCGCCTAGTGCTGCTCTTGGTGGGAACTGTTGGGCTTCTGTAAATAACATCATAGAGTATGGTCTAGACCTGCTCTTTTATGAAAAGCGCTGTGAGATAACTGTTGTTGTGATTTGGCGCTATATAAATAAAATTGAATTGAATTCTGTGCTGAGTGGAAAGATGTCTGATCAACATTAAGGTTTTTTTTTTTACCTTCTGCGCTGCAGGACCATAATGTAATATGATGTCCTGGAACTAAATGTGCACTCAAGAGGTAAATCTAAACCAAAGTACGGCTCCCTACAGTTCTGCTGTTTGTATTTGACCAAGCAAGGATGACTATAATATCCACACAGAACAGGATTAATAGACTGTTAACTTAATAATACAATAAATAATAATAAATTCTTGTGATAATGGAACTAAAATCCAGATTAGTAACCATGATGACTCTGTGGTCTCAGTAAATGTTATAACTCTATGCAGATGATACTGTAAAGTTTAATATGTGAAGCAGAAAAATAGAAAGTCTTTGAGCTTACAGTTTTTCACCGACCACAAGTCTCCTCCAGATCGATACCTGCAACAGCAGAAATAACCACAACATCATATAGCTGCACGACGTATAACATTTTACTTTTAGATTTCACTGTGTTACCCTCTCTCCCTGTGGTTCGACTCACCTCGTGTCGTCTTTATTTGGGTCTGTCAGATTAGAGATCCCAGAGGACTCCAAGGGAAGAGACTCTGATGGCTTCTCTTCTTCTTCCTCTTGTATCCTCTGGTCTTCTGCTGACACAACAGAGGAGTTGTCACCCCACTCTTCCCTCTCACATCTCTGCCTGGCTGTAAAGTTCATATACAGTGTAACATGTGACGCACTGTAAAACAATGGGGCAACTCCGTTAAGGCACAACCCAGAAAAAAGATGATTCTGTGCTATTACTGAATAGGAATAGTGTCTGTGTAGGTTCTTAGGCATCCAGGTTTTATTCAAGGAAGGTTAAAATCAAGGGCAGCTGCACTTGGTTGAAGATACTCAAAGACGTTTCGTCTCTAATCCAAGAGACTTCTTCAGTTCTGACTGTTAGGGAAACTCTGGCGGGTCAAGATGATCTATACGTAAAGTGAGAATGCAGATGATGGTCGTTCAGACGTACGATATAACAACCATAACGATTGTGCTTCTGACTGCTGTAACGACAAACAAACCAGCAGTATCCATCATCTTCACAACGACCCTTCAGACGCTACATATCAGAGTTTCCCTACCAGTCGGTCAGAGCTGAAAAAGCCTCTCGGATGAGAGACGAAACGTCTTCGAGTTTCTTAAAAACAAGTCCAGTTGTCCTTGATTTGAACCTTCCTTTGTGAACGGAACAGTATTTTTTTATTTATTCCTACAATATCTGCGCATGGCATCTATCTATCTAGCATGTTTAAGGTTTGTTCTGCGGTTATCTCCGTATTTAAACAAAATCATCTCCTCTCTATGACGGCCGGCTTTTCTCTCGACTGTGGATGTTCAGAGAGCTTTAGATGTGGTCGGACAACACTTCATACAAACTAGATTGTTTAAAGCGACCCACGGCCTTAAGCGTCAGCTCGAAAGAATGTATCCACAGGAAAGTCGTGCAAGTTTAAACATGTTTGTGATAAGACTGAAGAGTAAACATTCATCGTTTATACAGCAGAGATAACAGCAAGTCTGAAACCCTAAATGTGCTTATGACCTGGATTTTACAGAAGAACAGAGCGAACATTCTACAAGTTGTTCTTAGATGTGAAAAACATCAGGATTTATGGGATAATCTGGATTAAAAGAATCAAAGTTATGGGTTTCTCCATAAATATTTAGTTTTACCATGAAAATCATCGAGCCCACCTGCCTGTGATGTAGGACTCATCTCCTCACTGTGCTGTGTTTCAGTCAGTTCGCTGTTGTCTTTCATGTTGTTGTTGTTGATTTTCTCGACGTCCACTGTCTCGTCGTCCTGCTCTGAGAGGTTTCCCCTAAAGACATCGTCCACCTGTCCCTCGCCATTTTCTGAAAATGTCTTTTTACCTCCCTGATTGTTCTCTGTTGTTTGAGAAGTCTGTGAAAGTGGTCCGTCTCTTCTGAACAGACTCAGAGGGTTGAAGGGTTCGTCAGCCCTTTCAGCTTTCAACCCTTTTATCTTCATGGTGTCAGATGTTTCTTCCTTCGCCGTGACGGCCTTGTTGTCTCTCTCCTTTGAAAGACCAATCCTGAAGACGTTAGACAGGTCTTCTTTGAAATGATTGAAGTCCTCTTTGAGAAGGCTCAGACGACTGATCGTCTTCTCCGCTGGCTGACTCGCTTTATGATCTGCAGACTTCGTCTCTTTGTCCTTGGACGAGCTGGAGGTAAAGACGCTGGTCACGTCGTCTTTAAAGTGGCTGAAGTCCTCTTTCAGGAGACCGAGCGCACTGCTGGTAGATTTATTTTCTGCCTGGGTCGATGGGCGGTCTTCATCTTCCGTCTTCGTGTCTTTGTCCCTGAACACTTTCAACACGTCTTCCTTAAACTGGCTGAAGTCCTCTGAGAAAAGACTCAGCGGGTTAATGCTGCTTTTATCCCTCTGACTTGTCTTAACAACGTCTTTCATCATCATGTTTTTGTCCTTTTCGTCCTCAGGGTCAAATTCATTACTCTTGATGTCCTCTTGGAGACGTATTTCGGGCTCTTTCCGGTCATTTTCCTGCGCAGGTTCGTCAACGAGACTCATTTTCTATCGAATTCAGACTCTTTCAGACTTGTTTCATTGTCTTTGACACTGAGACTTAACGTTAATGTTTCTCTTCACCTCTCAGTTCATGTTCAGGCTTGTTTCAGTCTTCACAACAGATAAATCACAGCGTCTCGGATACTTACGGCTGCTCGTTTGAGTCTGATCCTTTGAAAACACCACAAGTGATTAAAAAAACAGAAATCCAGATCTGTGTTCTCAGTCAGAAAGCTCAGTGTTGTGGCTGTAATCTCAGATGCTCTGTGTTTTAAAAAGGACGGTCGGCATTCTTTCATTGGGCTGAACTTGTTTTCTTGATGGACCAGTTTGTCTCCATATTTCACTCTGACAGCTCAGCTGATGATTGGCTGACATGTGCAGGACTTTGGGTTGTTTCTCTGTCGGAGTTCCTCCAGACCGTTGTGAAGAATGGTCCCTTTCAGAGTTACATTATTATATATTTCATATTATTACTGATTCTGACATGGATTTTCAAATATTACAGCTGGTGGAGCACATTTTAAACCATGTTGGATAGTTTAATTAATCACGCAGTAACATATTTATAAAAGAAATTATCTAATCTTGATTTGTTTGTAAAATCTTATTTGTAAAGTAACTAGTAACTATAGGTATTCAATTTTCAATTACATTTTATTTATATAGAGCAAATTCATAACAGAAGTTTTTTCATTGCAGGTCTAGACCGCACTGTTTGTAACAAGTTATATAAATAAGACAATCCTTTACTGATCCCACCAGATCATCATCATGTGTTACAGAAACACAAGGACAAAAGTTAGTTCAGATAAATAGAGAAACTTAAAGAAGTGGTATTATACTCATTTTCAGGTTCAAAATCTTAATTAGGGGTTGTACCAGAACAGGTTTACATGGTTTAATTTTTAAAAAACACCATATTTTTCTCATCCTGCACATTGCTGCAGCTCCTCTTCTCACCCTGTGTGTTGGACGCTCCGCTCTTGAGCTACAGAGTGATGCATCTTGTACAAAATCTTTGTTGGGAGTTGCACATGCGCAGTTCCCAGGTAAGGACTACTAGCCAATCAGAAGCAGAGAAGGGCGGGTCGTAAGAAACAAGGTAGTGTGATCCAAATCAAAGCCGCTTCAGACCGTAACCTAGCAGATGGTAGAAGTTACTCTCAAGTCCACAACATCATTGTTCCACATCTTACAATAAACCACTACAAAAATCACCATATTTCAACTCTATTTTACATAAAAATTGGCCAAACGTTTGCTCCGTAGCTTTCACATCAGGTGTAACATTATAGCTTAACTTTAGCTGTGTTAGCCAACGTTTACAACAACTCCGCTCTTGAACAGTCTGTGAAGTTACATTGCCGTGTTTATTTTAAATATAATTCCCAACCAATAAAGCAAACTTACAGGTTGTGTTTGTGAATTTCCAGAGTTGCATCGTCTTTTAGGACTAAAACGTTGAACTGTTGCCGGTGTTCTGACGATCTCTGCTGACTTGCCGAAAAATGCGACCATAGCGCAAATCGATAGACTCGACTCTACTCTACCTGCTCCGTTTTCCACTGCAGACAGTACCCAGAGATAGTACGCAGCCTGACGTCATAGCGACGCCACACAACGGCCATGACGTAATGTTCAATGCGACACACACACCAGCGACACACACAGCTTTCTCTTTTTTAAGAGAAAGCTTCCTCAGAATGTAAAGACAGATAAGCGGTATGAAAACCTTCCAGCTGTGTTTTCCTCTGCCGTTGTTGCTGCAGCGGTCTGTGTGACGGCGGGAGCAGAGGGCTGGCCGGCCTAGCGCTCCTCCCGTGGGTTGCAGCAGGCTTCCCCCGCCGCCGCCTGTGGAGCTCCTCAACTCCGAAAATATTCAAGCACATTCACGTTACATTTTAGTTTCCCTCAGCTCGCTTGGAACCTCGATGAAGGTGAGGTGATATGAAAAAAAGTACCTGGAAGCAGGTACAGGTGCAACATTTCTACAATGGGCCTCCACTCAGACTAGCTTGGTTTGAGGGCGTGTCTGACCCCGCTAGCCGCTTGGCGAGCTTTATGACTCGTTTGCATTGTGACGTCACAGGGATGAAAGGGAAGCAGCTGGACAACAAACGAGCTGTTTTCAGTTTTTCAGCAGAGTTTTCTGTGGGAGATGGGAACTCACTTTGGGCTTTTTCACTTTGCAAAGCTGTTACAGCACAAAAAAGAGAAATAACTCAATAAAGGAGAGGGGAAAAGCTAAATAGCAGAATACCACCTCTTTAGAAAATGTGTGTTGTTCATGTTGTAAATTAAAATCTCTGTGCACACAACAGATGTAAAAAGGTTAAAACACGTTGATTAAAGCTGCATAAACCACAGAGCAGTCTGTAAACACAACATCTGACACATTATCACCTTTTCTAAGGTTTTAGCGAGCACCAAAGGAAAATCACCAGCACCAAAACAGCATTTCATATCCTGAATGAATGGGTTTAATAATTTATCAAACAACTGTTGCAGAACATAAACATCAGTCCATCCACAGCCGCTGTATTTTACACATGTAGCTGGTGCTGGATTTATAAACCAGCTGCTGCGCTGGTTTGACTGCGCCTGAACGCTACGAAGCTAGCGCTAATGGGAGGGATGACTTCCTGTGAAGTAGTATCAAAACCCTAGTCGGTGTGGTTGGCTGGATGTGCAGCTTTCTTTTCCTTTGAATGAGTCTTTAGGACGTTTAGTGACTTGTTCAACTCCTTTCTTGTATTCTGCTTCTTATTGTCATCTTTTTTTAGAGGAGCTTTGCAGCTCACAACTAGAGGAAAAAGCACTTGCGGAGATCTTTCATTTCAGTTCTTTGAGATTTGTTGATCCAAAGTTAACATAATTATTATCCGTGGTTTACTGTCAACAAATGGATAAAAAATTTAGCTTAAATTCCCTTTCCACAACTCACAGTGGTCACTGAACTATTTAAAAAAATCAGGATGAGGAACGATCTGATTCAAGTTCAAACAATAAAAATAAAATCATCTTGTCAATAACAATAGTAAAATTATTAATTAAATATGGCTTACAGTATTGTGACCCCGCCCCTCCCAAAAGGCCTATTCTGAGCCAGGAAAAACACGTAGCATCAACAGCTGCCTGGGTTCAGATTCAGTGTTTGTGTTTAACAAGCAGCTGAAACTCATTAAATATTCATGAGATGTTTTTTCTTCTGCTGAAATGACTTAGTTAATAATCTCCACACTGTTGAAACAGATCTGTTCAATAGAGTGTGAAACGCTGACACAGTTAAATCAGTCGGGGTCGTCTTCGTGCTGATTGGTGGGGGGAGTGGAGGGGCGGGGCCTGACTTTGCTAAACAATTCATGAGCACAACAGAGATGATTTATTATTTATAGGCTGAACTCAGTGTGACCTTTTTGACCCACAAAACCAAAACGAATCACAAAAAAACATCTTTTTACAGTTTTTAATAATTTTACTTTAATAAATGAATATTATGCATTTAATGAGCTTTAAATTAGAAGACCGTCCATCTGTGGTCACTGATCTGATCACTATCATTACACAGATTCACAGTAAAGTTTTTTTTACCTTTTAACAAATCTACCTAAACTCCATAATCCAAGTCTAAGTTCCCTCTCGGCCGCTACGCTCCTCCAACGAACGCCGCCTGGCTCTGCCATCCCTTCACACAAAGCGACCTCAGTCCCTGTTCTCATCTGTGACACCACGATGGTGGAACGAGCTGCCGCACGCCATCAGAGCAGGGGCGTCCCTCTCTGACTTCAAGAAGCTCCTGAAGAACACTTCCTGTGATAACACCTCTGACCTCTGACATGCACTTCCTGTGCTCTTCTTCTGTCTCCTTACTGTTCTCTGGTATTGATTGCAGTATCCGTTAACTCTTACTTCTTCCCCTGATGCTGGACGTGCTAACAGCTCTTACTAGTATTTGTCAGTCGTAGATCTCATACTTTCAGTGCTTGTAAGTTTTTCCTCAAACGTGAGTCTCAAAACAACATTAAACACGTGTAAAAATTAACATTTATTATTTGCAAACCTAAATTTTAATTTTAGTTTTTTTAAAAGACCTGACTGGAGAGTATTCCAAACAAAGATCTGCATCCAGAATGTAAACTGAGAATAGACCCATAAAATATGATGTGTTATTATAGGTTAAGAAAAGAAGAGACTTTTGATTCACAAGCAGTTTTAAATAAAGTAATTAAAATCTAAGCGAGTGGCTGGTTTCTGTGTGTGAATCTTCTGGTTTAATAAAAATGTTGCTTTGGACCGTGGGAACCGAGTCCTCAGCAGACTAATCAATAATCAGATATCATCCTGACTCTTGCATTTTAACTGGACTGATCTCCTGCGTCCTTCGGGGTTTCTGCACACGAAGGTTCTGGTTCAGTAGAACCTGCAGAAACTCTTCTGATTAAACATGCAGACGACTCTCATCCTCCTCCCGCTCCTCCTTCTCCTCCTCCTCGCTCTCCGGCTCGTTGCTATGCAGAGAAACCAGGTCTTTTCACACCGGCTCTGAGCCGAGCTGTGATTGGCTGTTGCCAGGCTGCAGGGTTGGCACGGAGCGAGCGTGTCTGAGATAAAGAGGGCGAGTCGATCCGTCCTCTCTCTGCTCGGCTTCCCTCTGAGAATAACAAGGAGGCCTGCGGAGACATGAAACCGTCTCCGTCAGGGAGGAACAAAAACTGACGGGCTGTTTTATTCTTAGCGAACACGTGACCTCCTCAAAGGGTCACTTCACAAATCCTCCCCCTCCCCTCTGGTGCTGCCGGGCCCTGCAGGTAGTTCTGGGTTCTGTCTCCAGTTTAGTTTGTGAAATATGACATTTAAAATCTGTTTTTGTGGATAAACTCACACAACAGACAGAACTGCTGGTTTTAAGTGGAGGTCAAATCGACTTGTATAAAACCCAAACCCAGGCGTGAAACAAAAGAACCCGGATCAGAAGGGGACCAGAGGAATGCATTCTCACTAGAGCTGCAACGATTAGTTTCCAAGTATTTTGATAACTGATTAATTGCTTTGAATCCCTTTTTTTTTTACTTGTGAATATTTTCGGGTTTCTTTGCTCCTCTCTGGCAGTAAACTGAATATATTTGGGTTGTGGACACAATAACACATCTGAGGACGTCTCCTCAGGCTTTAGGAAACACTAATCAACATTTTTCTCAATTTTTTGGACCTAACAACTAATCGATTAATCCAGAAAAGATTCGTTAGTTGCAGCCCTAATTCTCTCTCCCAACTCGTCACATATGGACACTTGGTCAAGAACCCTTGGCGTCGCTTTTTAATGCCGTGTAGGGCTCTGTGGTCAAGTTAGCAAGTCCACTTAGAAACGTCGCACTTTGGTTAGGTTCAGGTAAAGATCATCATAACTAAGTTATGTAATTTAAGAGAGATTCCTGTATTAGATTCCTTGCATGATCCATAACCACTGCAGCACTGCCTGAAACTGCGCTCAAAAATGCATTAAATAAATGAATAAATCGACGCTGACTTTTTGTTTCACACGGAAAACAAACACAGGCTTTCGCAATGTCTGGGTTTTCTGATTACCTTTCTGAAGCTCGGATTAGCTGGAGCTTCCGTCTGACCCACAGATCTGCATCTTTGAGAAAAGTATGGGAAGAAACTGTCTTTGCTCCCTGGACTTATTCTGACTCTCTGTCCCTGAAGTCTAGACTGAACTGGGAAAAGGGGGCGTTTAAGAACAACTTGGAATCAGTCACCTGGACCATCAGGTGGATTAAATGACCTGGAGCAGATCTTTTGACTGATTCATATTGACCCAGATTGATTCCTGATGTTGACGTCCGACGAATCCTGATGAATATTTTTGATATCTCATGATACCGTAACTTATTTTCATTGTAAATTGTTCCATTTTTCTATGTGTGCAACCCTGTTAATCGTGCTGCTGCACGTCTCGGCCGGGACGCAGAGACTTTTCCTGCTTAAATAAAGACGACAAAATTTTTAATAAATGAATGACAGGACTAGTTTTTATGTTCACGTTTCTCTTGATATGCGGCTGCACACACGTGTTTGTATTTAAATCATCTGCGGGACATTATATATGAAGAATGTTTGATGTGTTGCTGATTTAATGCGTCTGAATAATCCTACGATTCATGTAAACACAGTATTCATTCATTCGCAGGACTGATTCTGGAATGATCTGCTTTGCGGGGGCTACCGCAGCTATATAACACACTCTCTCTTCTAAATGGAGATTTCTTGTGAATGATTGTGGGGTCGTCAGCAGGAACTAGTGAACATGGACTCGTTGGTATTCGTCCTGCAGGAACGTGCTCAGCAGAATGTGTCCGGTAGCTGTAGAGGTCTCTGCCGCAGAAGCCGATGGATGAATCAGTGTTCAGGGTTTCTGTCGGCTGCGTCTCGTCTCCTCTCGCCTGGCGTCCATTTTGTCGTCATGTGTGCAGCTGGCTGTGTTTTTAATGGAGGAGGTTTGGATCAGAGCCACAAAATCAGTCCGTGAGATGCACAGGAAGAAGAAAGATATTCAGGTTTCCTTTTGTTACACACACACATGCACAACGGCTTCATTTGGATTCAGACTGAAATCCTCAGAGGGTCGTATCAAAGCCTTCCTCCCCCCTTTCATCATCCCGTTACCACGGCAACGCCTCGGGATGGGATGTGTGTGTGAGCCAGAGACTCTGCAGACAAAGAGGAGAGCTGTGTGTGTGAGAGAGCAGTGAAATGATCGAAAACTCTCTGTTTTTTGCTTCTTAAATCTGTCAGGCTGAATTTCAGGAGGGGGGGGGGGGGGGTCCTTTAGTGAAGACGTGAAACAACATGGAGTCTGTGATATTCACTATTTCCTCAGTGGAAACATCAAAGGTTACAAAACACACACAAAATAATAATTAATCTATTATAAAAGGGTTTGTGGATATATTTGTGGTGTATATTGTATAAATGTGTACGCAACATTAACATTAACCTGTTTATAATTCTTTAATTATTATTGTGTGTGTGTGTTCGTAACCTTTGATGTTTCCACTGAGGGAAATAGTGAAAATCACAGACTCCATGTTGTTTCTGTGTTTCAATCATAATGTGTATTTAAAAAGTGGGCGTGGCCGCCGTGACGTCCCCCATTGGTTTGCAGACTACAGTTTTGAGGCCTCTTTTTAGAACCAGATGTGACCATATTTGGACGAGAGGGTGGAGCTAGCTAGCTTGGTTAGCAAGGTGCATCTTTAGTTCACATTAGCTGTGATATTAGCTGGGATAAACATTTAAAACAAAACGTACTTCCTGAAAAATGAGCGGCCTACTCCTGATGAGCTTTTTCAACAGCGCTGGTTAAACATACACAGAGCAGCGGGTACAAGTCGCCTCTATTCTTATTGACAAATTGCCATGGTAGCGACTTGTCAATCAGCTTGTAGCCCCGCCCTAAAGCCTCCCCTGCTTCCTGGTCTCTGTTCCTCTAAATGGGACCATAATTTACTAAATAACATCATGCTGTGTTGAAGAAGACTTGAAACTAGCGACTGAGACCAGAAACTCATCAGGAAAGTGTTTACTGAGGGAATAAATCAGCTGACAAGTAGAAACAGTTTCTTTCTGCAGCCGCTGGAGTCGCCCCCTGCTGGCTGCTGGAGAGGACGCAGGTTTAAGGCTCTTCAGCGCTGGCTTCAGCTGTGAGATCCGGAGGTTCCCGCTTCGTTTTTTATTTTCTAATTTATATCCATTAGCTCCTGTTTGTTGTAATTGTTTAATCACACACCTGATGCAGAATCCCTGACTTTGTGCAAGTGTACCTAGAAGAATTGATCTTGTTTTGAATGCAAAGGGTGGCCACTCAAATATTGATTTGATTCAGATTTTTCTTCTGTTCACTCATTTTAAAATTTGTTAATTTATTAATATAATATTTTAACATGTCTGTTTTTGAAAACATTCTTATTTTACAGCATTTTTCCACGTCTGCCTAAAACCTTTAACTAAACCTATAACCTTTATTTCTCTCTAATATTTTCTGACTTTAGGATCAGAAGATTATTAAAATGAAGAAATATTGTCAAATGTTGGCAACAAGAATCAACATTTATCACTTCAAATGTAAACTCCTAAACGTAAAAAGCTGGAATATTTTGCAAATAAAAATGCATATTTATGGGTTAGATTCAATACTTGTGTCTTCACTGTTACTCAAAATCTTTTGTGCTACTGTAACCCCTAAAAATAATAGAACAGTTAAACAGTTAATAAATCTTTAAAAACACCCGTTTACAGTCTTTCATCCAACTGGAGGATTAAATAGATGAAATGAAAAGTTATTATCTGTGTGTTTATAAAATACAAAAATTCTTCAGCCTGAAAACACTCAGCGAAAACATAAATAGGTCAGCGTTGTTTCCGTCCTCTTCTCTGGCAGTCGGCCCAGAGTTTGGGACCTCTCTAATATTCTCCAATACAGAAAACAACTTCTACACCAACTGCAGTTTATATCGCAGGATTTGTATGAATTGACCTTATTTCAGATTTTAGGTTAAATTATAATTATACAGGCACAGAATAATAACCTTTTTTTTACCAGAGTTTCCTTGATTTGTATATTTTTAATTTCACATGACGTACTTTATTTTATACAGCAACATTTCAACAAGACAAATAAAAATCAGACAATTAAAATATTACAAGAATAAAACAGGATAGGTATAAGATACAGACAATGATGATGATAACAATAATAATAAAGTTTTGGAAATAAAACTGTGCTAACATTAATAAAACCTCTTTGAGATGTGATTTAACAGATTCTGCAGATTTAAATCCTCACTGATGCAACATTCATGTTTCTGTTGTTTTTCTGCTTTTTTACCTACATGTTTTTCTTTTTTGTCCTCGTTTCTAGATAAATCTGTATAAAATAGTGTAGTACACGTGAATGTCTGAAATCGGTTAATTGATCTGTCTGCAGTGATGTTACACCTGCTACACGGTGAGTCTCTGAGCTTCTGATGCAGTCGGATCATCACTGCCAGGCGTCAGAGACTCTGCTCGGTGATGTGTTTAAATCTCTCCCCCTCATCTTCTTCCTCTCTCTCTCTCTGTGCAGCTATCTGGAGCAGAGAAGCCCCCTGCTGGAGAGCCGGAGAACAACACGTCGTCAGCTGCTGCAGCAGGAACGGACGCTCCTGCAGACGGAGGCAGCAAGGTGACACATCCTGCACCACCCGGGGTGAACGAGGGCTTAATACAGACATTCTGCAGCTTTACAGAGAAAAGCAGATCAATCCATTTACTCAAGTACTGTACCAAAGTACCATTTTGAGGTACTTGTACTTTACTTGAGTATTTCTATTTTCTACTCTGCCACATTTCAGACGGACGTATCGTACTTTTTACTGCACTACAACGATTTGATAACTTTAGTAACTTTGCAGATTCAGATTAATAATATAAAACATTATCAAACAAATAAAAATAACACTTTCTTGATCCCTTGGTGAAATTCAGAAGCGACCCAGCAGAATATAAGTCAGCAAAAATGGGCCAAATAAGGTTGGAGCTTTATGGCACAATTACTGATCTTGAATTGTTGCTACAACAATAGTTGACATGTAAAAATAGTTTTGATTGGTCTGAGATGTCATCACGTAGATTTCTCTCATCGGGTGATAAAGCTATTATAAGTAACCTCACCAACAAAGTTATATGTTTATGAAAGATGTTTTGCCAGGCTCTTTCAAATGAAAATATTCATTTTAGGTACTAGCGAGCCAAAACGGGCCACTCAAGAAATTGAGGTTCAAAGGTGTGTGATCAATCTGTTCACTTGTTAATGCATTTTTCAATTAAATATTTGTTCAACTTTTTATTGCATGAAATGTATTTAAATGTTAGTTTCCTGGAAAAATGTAGATGATTTCAGTTAAAATTACTTTACATTATCCTAAACAACATGCTGATACTCAAACTATCATAAAGACAAAACAATTAGACTTTTTCAAATGTTTATACGAATAAATATTTTTTTACAAATAAAGATTATTATTATTATTATTATTATTTTAAAAAGAGTAAGATCCTTTTGTTTAACCAGAAACAGTCTCTCTAGCGCTCTTGTCAAAGCCACCAGACTGTGTTGATAAAAGCAGTAACTTTAGCTCACAGAACCCGGGATTGCTGATGTACCGCTGCCTCGGTCGGGTAGATTGTTTGTGTTATTGTGAGACTTAAAAACACCAAAGTGACACAATAACACAAACTGATATGTCGAGGCAGCGGTACACCAAACGGGTAAAATTCCTCTTTTTGTCAATGGAGTCTGGTGGCTTTGACGAGCGATATAGAGACTGTTTCTGGTTCAACAAAAAGGGTCTAACTCGTTAAAAAAAAGATGTCAGTAGGAATCCTTTCCATGAGGCTGTCAGACACCTGTAATAACAGTCTGAGCCTGAGCTCTTTACTGGACGTACTTTGACGGTACTTGTACTTTACTTGAGTACAAGTACTGTTGAGGATTACATTGCTGCCCTGTTTCACTGCAGCAGACTGGTTTCAAATAATGTTCTCTGAGTTGAACAGACGTTGACCTCCCCTCCCTTCAGGTGGAGATGGTGTTCTGGCTGCTCTCCATGCTCGCTAACAGAGATAAGGAGGAGATGTCTCGGACGCTGCTGGCTCTGTCCAGCTCTCAGGACAGCTGCATCGCCATGAGAAAGTCCGGCTGCGTCCCCCTGCTGGTCCAGATCCTGCACGAGGCCCCGGTTGGCGGCGCCCCCGGGGAGACGGGCGGTACGACGACAGGCTGCAGCCGAGATGCCAAATCCAGAGCCAGCGCCGCCCTCCACAACATCATCTACTCCCAGCAGGACGAGGGCCAGGCCCGCCGGGAGATGAGGGTGCTGCACATGCTGGAGCAGATCCGGACCTACTGTGACAGCGGCTGGGACTGGATCGAGAGCCACGCAGGGACACCTTCACCCGGAGGAACCAAAACCACCGGTGAGTCAAGCGCCCTCTAAACCTGAAGGAACCAGTCCCTCAGGTTCCTTCTACACCTAGAGCCTAAACCACTCCTGAGCCGTGCAAAGAAACCTGACCTTCTGGTTTTTGTCCTCTGCAGACATCCCTGAGCCAGTTGACCCTCAGATCTGTCAGGCCATGTGCGCCATCATGAAGCTTTCCTTCGAAGAGGAGTACCGACGCGCCATGAATGAATTAGGTTTGTGAAACACTTCAAAGTCTTCTGGTTTTCCCAACATCAGAGACACATTTATCTGTAAGAGTTTCATGTTTTCCTCCAGGTGGTCTGCAGGTGGTGGCGGATCTGATCCACCTGGACCAGGACATGTACGGCATGCAGAACGACCCCATCAACATGGCGCTGCGCCGCTACGCAGGGATGGCAGTGACTAACCTCACCTTCGGAGACGTCGTCAACAAGGTGAACAGAGACGCACGACGCTATGAACAGTCAGACGTGGATCAGGGACAGCAGGGCTCTGATACAAAGGTGTATCACTACCTGTAGCCCCGCCCACAGGAGATAAAATAACCTTTAGTGAGCTCAAAGGATCCCAGCAGCAAAAGAAAGTCTGAAAACATAATTTAATTTCATTAGGATGAGAGAAGTAAACCAAAAGCATCTCCACTGATCTTCTACAAGAATAGAAGTACTTTATACACCTAAAATAATTATACACCTAAAAC